TGGCAGTGTATAACACAAAAGTATCCAAAAAAGTTACTATTTTATCTAGTAGTTTCATTTCTCTTTTATTGTAAAAATTGGAGATCTCGATCTCAAGATCAACCTTGATACTTTTGGTCATAGATACATCAAACATTTCGTTATGTAAAAGTTTTAACATTTTTTCAGTTAATTCTCCAATAATCGAAATTCATTTAACGCCATATTATTCTACATCTAATCCTGGTTTTTGGCATAAACAAAATACAGATATCAATGTACGCCTATAAACTATACTGATACGTTCGTTTTATTACAACTTTTTCCAATTGTTTGATGAAAATTTGAGCAACTAAGCTTAGTTTCTAACGGTTCCTGCGAGCATAAACGTCTTATAGACGATGGTTCGAACCAGCTCAGATCCACCCCAAGCCGTCTCAAGCTCTTTCACTACATTTTCCGACAATAAATCAACTCCTTTCTCCTTAGCAGCTCCAACCGCAGACCAAGACCTCAACATCCTCAAGAATCCTTCAAACGACACCGTTTTCTTCATCTCCAGCTCAACGGGCTTTCCCTCTGAGCCCAAGCCCACACTCTCGAACGGAAACGGCAACGTTTTATATCCGTCCAAAAAATACTGAGACTCAGGAAACTTACAAAACGGCATCGTTTTATCGTTGAACCGAGTCATCACCGAGTCGAACTCAGGACTCACCACCATGTCGGTGTTGTAACTCCACACGGCGATGATTCCTCCTGGTTTACGGAGGAGACGATTCGCAATCGCGTAGAATCTCGGTAGATCGAACCAGTGTACGGCGGTAGCAACCGTTATCAGATCAACTGAATTCTCTCCTCCTCCGATCAGATCCACGATCTCATCTTCCGTCATCGACGACGGAGTATGGTGGTACGTTACTTTCGGATGCGGTTTCCCTAGCTTTAACATCGTCTCGCTCACGTCCGTCGCGACGACTCTATCGTAATGCTCCGCGATCTGGCCGGAGTTATACAGAGATCAGAGATTGGATAGTTGTAAAAACAAATTAAAATTATCAGATCGGAGAGAAAATACGGACTCCGATTGCGGCTTGACCGTTCCCGGTGCCGGCGTCCCAAGCGAGACGGTGATGGTGAGAGAGTGCGGCGAGTTTTGAGTACCAATCGGCGGGATAAGTAGGACGTGCGTCTAAGTAGATATCGGCTTGATTGTCGTAAATTCCTGACATTTTTTTTTGTTAT